AATTTTTTCTTTCGTGTAATTCAATGTTTATATGAAAGTAGCTGTTTCAGGAGGACTTTCTTTCAGTTTGTGTCTGAAAGTTACTTCTTTGCATGATCTACACATCCATGTATAGAGTTACTTATTTTCAAATTGATTAATCCTTCCTTTCTTTGGAAGATTCTCTCATCCATTTTTTTGTATCAGATGGAGTAGTAGAAAGCCAAAAACTTTCTTTCCCAAAAAACGAGAGATATGTTCTGGTAGGAGATTTTAAAAGAACAAATCAGATTTGGACAGCTTTACTTCGGTAATACTACTACAGGAAAAAAGGATATAGTTTGAACAGTGACGTAACAGAGTAATTATTGTGAGCTATCGGTTCTGAAAAATATCAGTAAACTATTAGGTATATTAGTTTGAAAATGTCCTAATAGAACAAAACTGTAGAAACGTTAGTTTGAAGATGGTTGACAATGTTTCATGGTACATTTCATTAGTTCAGACTTCCATTGTCTAGTATGATATAAATTGATTTGAAATAATAATGTTTATTTATCGAAAAATTACAATATTGAATACATAAGTTTATATCAGTAGTGCTTGAGAGCTGCACAAATAAACAATGGCATCACTGAAGAAACAATCGCAAGATTGCTCCTTGTGCGTGATATAGCCTCTAGAAAAGATTGAAAAAAATGACAAAAGAACATTCATGTAGCACATAATACAATATTTAAAATATTACAATGATTGGTTATCAGTTTCATGCAAGATATTACATGAGATAAAATATCACAGTCGAGTCGGTAAAAATGTCACATCCAGATCAAGTGAATAACACGATCGGTTTGAAATCTCAGTGAACATAATATACATATATCACATTACAAATTATCTAAATATCACCAATAGATGGTTGACAGTTTTATGCAATGTATCACATGAGATAAATATTATAGTCAGTAAAAAGTCACATCTAGAGTCTCATTAGAGATATATATCATTGTCTTTTGAATAGGACAGACAATTTGTTAAAACTAATTAATTATAACAGGTATGAATATTTGCAGTTTTTACAGTAAAATAATTTTTTGGAATATATCTCTGTCATAACTATTTAGCCAATTTTTACTTGTTTCTTAAACTTAACGTAGTTTTGACTAGTTTTTATGGTTTAAGATAGTTTTTGGACCCAGATAGCTGCAGTGCCTCTATCCCACTGTTTTGATACATTTTGGAACCACACTTTTTTTTCCCTGAAAGAATCTGTAAAAAATCAAAAATAAGAAGTTACCTGAAAAAATTATATTTATATTAAGCAAAAAACTGAAATTACAATGAAATAAAATACAAGTAACACCAAAAAAATTAAAAAAAATGAAAAATTGAACTATTAACACCACATGAAAATTTTAAAAATTATTAACAAGAGATAAAAGTACAAATTGAAAGATTCCAAAGCAAGTTAATAGACGACGTTTCGATTGTTAGTATCCACAATCGTCTTCGGGTGATGACTGGACTTATTTCTCGGAGATCTGACTATTTATAAGTCGTTCGAGTGCTTTCACCTATCTCCTCTTCCCTCTCTCCGCTTCATCGGTTTTAGAGGAAGCTGACCGTTTGGCAGCAGTTGGTCGTGTTCCGCTTGATTAGAGGTTTCCATATGTTACGTATCTCTACGCTAGCTTGGCTAAATACGTTGTTGGACAAAATATATGCGGCTTCTTCGAATTTTCTTCTAAACCACTGTTAATTTTCATTTCGTGTTAATATTTCATATTTTTTATTTTTTGCTTGTATTTTATCTCATTGTAATTTCAGTTTTTTTTTGCTTGATATAATTGTTATTTTTTCAGCTAACTTTTTATTTTTGATTTTTTTACAGATTATTTCAGGGATTTCAAATCAATTTATATCATACCAGACAATGGAAGTAGGAACTAATGGAATGTAGTAACATTAGTTACAAAATAGTGGTAAAAAAAATAGAAAGTTCAATTTCTCATTTTTCGTAAAACTAATTTGAAAAACACAATATAAATGAATAAGTATGATTTGTAATTGAACCCAGGTTTGTGTTTAATAAACCCTATAAAATACAAATTAGGCAGAACACATAGTCAGATGCTACAAATGCAATACGCAGTTATACAGACGGCTCAAAAACCAAAGAAGGCTCAGGATGTGGAGTGTACTCCAGATCACTAAGTCTAAGGATTAAGTGGGAAATGGAAAGAAATACCAGCGTGGTCCAAACAGAACAGGCTTGTATTTCAATCGACACAAAATAAATAACTAAGGAAGGAATTTTTGGCAAAACATAACAATCTGCCCTATTAGCCTTGAACATACAACATATAACCTCAGGGCTAGTACTAGAGTGTCACCAAGATTTAGCCAAAGCCTCAGTAGATGATAACATTATCCTGAGGTGCGTTAAAGGGAACGACAGGAGTACAGGTAACCGCATTGCCGACTCTTAAGCCAAGGAAGCGGCTGGACTTAGAAATTTTAGGACCCAGTGGCACCTACGGCCTGATGACTTCAATAATTGCGGAACTAGATGGAATGGAATCAAAGGATGATCTTGCCATGATCACCTTGGGCGACCCTGGGAAGCTGGCGCCGAAGAAATATCTGGCAATTACCAGGAAAAATCTACGCCTAACAGTAAGATTTCTGACTTGCCACTGTCAACTGAGAAAACACCTCCATAATATGGAGCTAGTGGACACACCTCTATGCAGGATGTGTGAACGGGAAGATGAGACTGTCAGACATGTCCTTTGCGAGGGCCCGGAGTTATCGTCAATAAGAGAGTGTGTGTTCGGCGAGTCTTGGCCTACACCTGCTGATATAAAGGAGATGTGTCCCAGAGGCCTGTCCACTTTCCTGGAAAGGACGGGATGGACAATGACCTAGGAGGACAATGTACAATGGGTCACATGTGGGCTAAGTACTGTAGGTTTACACTCACCCTCCCCTCTACAGATACAGAGACAGAAGTATGACTTGTATGATTATCTTCAATAACAATTAGGACAGATGCCTTTTCTTATTACCCTTCACCATGAATATTCATTTCAAGAAAAGATAATTGAAACTTTATATGTTTTTTGCCACTTCAATTAGTAACTAACGTTATTGCAGTTTTGTCCTATAAGGACCTTTTCAAACTTTGATTTTTATATTAACTTTCAATTCAGAAAAAGTTATTAATTAACAAATTTATAATTAACGTTAAAATTGGAATAAAAATTTTTTGACTGCGGATTATTGTTTATTGATGTATTGATGATGATGTACATGAATTTTTTCATTCCTTAATATTCACATTTAATATGTTTGAATAATTTTTTTTGTTTTTATGTCAGAGTGACGAAAGGCGCGCGGAAGTCAGACTACCCGCTTTTGGCTCTATTTTCAGGGCTCTGTAAAAATTATAAATAATCGAGATACAGTTTCGGGAGTCGGGACTTTTTATACGCAAATTTATTGATCTTTTCAAATCTTTCTTCAAATTTTCAAAATTTTGAAAATTTTCCGAGATATGAAGAAAAAACTAAAGCCCAATTTTTTTTCACTTGATTGTTTATAACTTTTGTAATTTTTATCGGCGCGTTTTCGGACCTTTCCTTAAACTTTCTAGGCAAAAATACGAATCGAATGACACCTTGATCGTAATTTTTGGACAGGGCTAAAAAATGTTTCAAAAAAAAGTACATGTGAACCAGACTACTAGCTAAATTGATGTTATTATACAGATAGGCCATAATAATGGTTTCAACGCAAATACAATCCAAAAGTTTGTTAGAGAAAAAAGCCGTAAATTTACTTACAAATTAATATACCCCCAGATCAAACAATCAGAAATCAAGAAACGGGTTATTCTAACACAGAGAGTAAAAAATTAAGATAATTGCAGGTTTCTTCAGAAAAAACAATGTGAAAGTCGCATTCATGCCACATGCCAGGTTATCTGATTTCCTTTTCAATACCAACGATAAAGTGGAACAAGTTGGAGAAATCTGGAGTTATTAAGCTTAAGTGTCCCGAGCGTAATAGTGTTTATGTGGGACAATGTGGTCGAAATGTCCAAAAACGGTATGCGAAACATGAAAAGTTCTTCAGACTAGTAAAAAATGATTCGACGTTTTCAAACCATTCCTAAGCATGCAACCACAGGATCCCGAATCTGAACGATACGGAAATTTTGCACTATGTAAGGAAGGGTTACAAACTCGATTATTTGGAATCCTTAGAAATTCACAAGCAGAAACATTGCGGGGCAAGCTGTTAAGTGATCAAATCGATTTAGTTTACTCACCGGTTTTCAAATCAGCATATCCACATTGTCACTAGTAAACAAAATTCAGGTACTCAATCAAGCTAAGTAGCTCAATTATTACCTACAGTGGTCTTATATAAGGGCTAATGTAATCAATCATTGTTAGTTTAATGTATAACTTTGAAAATGTCCTCATAGGATAAAACTGCACTAACGTTAGTTACAAATAAAAGTGGTAAAAAACATAGAAAGTTCCAATTCTCTTTTCTTCATTATGATTTCCTACCACGTAGTAACAGCTACATCCATCAATTTATATTCATTTCAGTTTCAGATTTGCTTTCTCTCACCTCTTATCTTCTACATACTAACCTTCCTATTGTTATTATTGTTATACGCCTGATAGGTCTGCATTGTGTCTTGGTCCCGTCTAGATCGCCGATCGTTTTCTCTGGGAGGACTCGCCGAGCTACCTATACTGCTCACACTAGCTCCGTCTGCGTTTCGTCTATCTCGTCCCCCATCAATCTCACATTCCGAAGGCGTATCGCTATCAGAAAATCTACACGTATCAAAAAGTGACGCATGAAATTTTGTTTCAAGAATTATTATTTTTGAGAAGCTCACCTGGAACCAGTACTTGGTGGAGAGAGATGTTCACTAGGAGTCAGCGCAATTTCCTCGTGAGGGCCCAACGTCCTCCAGGTTGGCTGTTCGTCCAACGGCCACAATTCAACTATTGCTTCACCAAGGAAGTCGTTTGCACCGTATCGGACGTAGTCCCAAACAGTTATTTCTAAAGCTCTAATTCGAAGATCAGCTCTTCTGAGTCCGGAGTAAACGAACGTTTGGTTCCACATAGGTTCCGTCGTTCCTGGGAAAAGTTATTTGATTGCAAATGGTGATTGATAATTATTGAAAACAAAATAATTTCGACTGTTTTTATACTATTGTGGCCTTTAGGAGTATTTTTCTACGGTCCTTATAGCGGATTGTAACATTTTACTTGACGAATTAGACAAATGATTGCTGACAAATGGTAGAGAAACTGATTGTCATCGAAATGTAATCTTGTTAGTTGCCCATATTTTTTACATTTTTAGAATTCTTTGAATGTTATTTATTCTATGATGTATTCAAGTGAATGTATATTCATATGATTTCAACTGATTTCCTTCAGTAATCAAGTAAATAGTCTATACAAAATGTCCTACATCCAACAAAATCCCCATCTAGTCTTTCCGAAATTTCTCCTGGCTAGATGTTTGCTTCAGCTCTAAAGATCCATCAACTTGTGCTTCTGAAGTCGGGGAAGGTATTCTATCGTCTATTGATGCATATATTTGTTTTTCAATGAAACGAAGTTCTAACGGCAAATCTTGGTTCAACAAACATTGCGAGCAAGCTGTCGCCTACAAAAATCTCGCCTACCGGCAGTGGCGCAAAAATCCCAGCGCCGAAAACCGAACTAGGTTTGTTAATGCTCACAACACTTGCAAACTTAAGATAAATGAAAGCAAATAACTTTACAATCAGAGAATAAAGGATGAAGTGCTTGCCATCTAGATCCTTCTGATCGCTAGCTAAAGCTCTTAATCAGAACTTTACAAAATCCGCAATTCCACCACTAACACAAGCGGATGTATCAATTGCAACAACCGACATAGAAAAAGCAAATCTACTAGCTTACTTTTCGACAGCGTCTAGTAAGGCGAGTTTTGAAACAGCTCAATATTAACAAGGCGTCTGTACCTGATGAAGATTCTGTGATGTGCCTCCAAGCAAGCTAGACGTATTTTCGTGTGCTCTGTCAGTTTGGTGTAGTGTTCACCTGATTTGGAAATGAGTTTTTCAAGGAAACATAAAGAAGATATTGAATCCGTATCAATAAAGGTATTTCAAGATGCTTTTATGGATGGTAATTTTATGGAAAATTTTGCCGACAAGTTGGCCGAAATGGTGTACAGTAAACTCGCCGATAAAATTGAAGGTCTCAATAATAAAATCACACTACTATCAAATTAATTAAATTCTTTAAAAAAACTCAACTGTGCCCTGGAATCCAGAATCGATTTCTTAGAGTAAAAATCCAAAATGTGCCATTTGAAATTATTCGGGCTAAAAGAAAAAAGGGGGAAAAACCTCAATGATATTGTGTCCAAACTTTTTGAAGAAAGAAATATAATTACACGAGTTGAAATGTTTTCTCATATGAGTTGCCATCGCCTTGGAGCATTTGTACCTGGTTCCAGCAAACCCAGAGGTGTTGTGATGAAGTTTGCAACCGATTCCCCACGCAATAAAGCGTTTATGAATAAAAAGCAGCTCAAAGGTTCCAAAATGGTTCTTATAGAAGATTTAACAAAACTAAGATACAATCTGTTGATCAATGCCAAAGGAAAATTTGGGGGAAAGATACTATTTGGTCAGAAGGGGAAAACACCTTCGCCAAAATTGAGGGCAGTAAACATCAGTTGAAGCATGAAAAGCATCTTGGAAAACTTTCCTGAGGTCAGAAGCAGCCGTCAGTCCTTCTACGTAATATTTCGAATTCAATCAGCAATACAAATTTAATCACTTCTAAAATCACTTAATATTAATTGTACCTAACTACTATCTACCAGTATACACTTGAATCAACGAAAATAATTTATCTATATCCTTTTTTTTCTACTAAGACAACCTTGCTCGTTTTTACGTCTATTTGAAAGAAACACTGAATTAGATCTGTTTTAATATTAATTTTATACTTTTTATGTATGAATGTGTTTTGTAAACTTATGCCATTTGAATGTGAGATCTCCGATATCATCTTTTCAGGAATTTAAAAATGCTTTTCAGTCTTATGACATGTGGCGATAACTGAAACATGGCTTACTAACTACCTAAGAGATGACACAGTATCTATGTCAGACTATACTCTTTTCAGGTCTGACAGAACATAATCTCGCGGTGGAAGTGTTGCACTTTATGTCAATAAGAATATTTCATGTTCTAGATATGATTTTCCTGTCACTTTTGATGAGAATATTGAACAACTCTGGATTCAAATCAAAGTAAACAATCGTAAAAGCCATATGTAATATATACAGAGCACCATCTGGAAACATTAATCAATTCATAAGTGTTGTTGATGAGTCCCTTTCGCAAATTATACCCACTGTAGACGAAATTATCTGTTTAGGCCATATGAACATTGACCTACTTAAACCTGAAAATATCCTCAGCAAATGTTTTGATGCCTATGACTTCAAGCAAATAATCAATGAGCCCACTAGGGTATGTGATACATCGCTCTCATTGTTAGACCCCATTTTCCTAGCTAACCCCAGTCTCATAAGCACCTTCGGAGTACTTGATGCTAGTCATATATCAGACCACAACCTTGTATTTTGTAGAATGAAAATTGAAAAACTTCAGCGTGACCCCAAACTTATTACGTTTAGGGATTTCAAGAATTTCCACCTCAACAGATTCCTGAGGACTTGAATAACACACCACTCAACGATATTTTCCATATCAATGATCTCGATAAAAAAATTGATTTTTTCAATAACGTTCTGCTCGCTATATTTGATAACCATGCCCCAGTCAGAACAATACGAGTAAGCAAACCTAAATCACCATGGCACACATATCCTATAAGAGTTATGATGATGCGTTCGCTTAATACAAAAGAACCACCTACTTATCTGATTGGGAGCGTTATAAAGAGCCCAGGAATTTTACGTTAGCCGCAATTCGCCGCGAGAAAAAGGCATACCATGATCGAGTCCTCAGTACAAATAATTCCAAACATCTTTGAAAAGAACTCAACCGTCACGTTTTGAATAAAGCACCAGTCGCTATCCCTAGTCACCTCCAGAATCCAGACGGAATCAACGATTACTTCTGCTCTGTCTTTGTTGATAAAGAGCCCGACGGCGACCTACTTCATTACTATGATAATAATGGGTTCAGTAATATCGAAAGCAAGTTCAATTTTGAATTTCTCACCATTTCTGAAGTGAACGACATTCTCAATAGTCTAAAATCCAATGCGTGTGGAGCCGACTGTATTACTTTATGTATGCTTAAGTACTGCAGCCCCTTTATTGATTGTTACCTAACTCATATTATCAATTACTTCCTGCAAAAAGCTTATTTTTCCAAAGTATGGAAAGAAGCCATTGTTAAACCGCTATGTAAATTGAAAAATCCACTTACTCTCTCAGATTTACGCCCAATAAGTATCTCATCAGCCGTTTCTAAAATTCTTGAAAGAGCTATCCAGACTACCAGGCATGGTTTCGAAAAGGGTATAGTACTATTACTGCTCTACTTAATGTTAGTGATAGTATTGTATCCAATTTTGATGGAAAAAACTCACCGCTCTGGTATCATTAGATTTTTCTAAGGCGTTTGATACCATCAGCCATAAACTCCTTTCCAAGCTCAAATACTATAGATGTTCAGCTGATGTCATGAAATTTTTCAGTTATTATTTGAACAACAGATATCAAAAGGTACTTGTTGATGATCGAAGTTCATCCCTTGAAAGTTCAGATCAGGAGTACCTCAAGGCTCAATTCTTGGTCCTATTCTATTTTTGTCATACACTGCAGACATTTTTTCTCAAATTGAGCATTGTCAGGTACAAGCATTTGCGGATGACACCGCAGTTATATCATAGTATCGAACCTAATAACATATCAGTATCCCAAAATCAAATAAATGATGACCTTGAAGTCATAAAAACTCTGTCGAGCAAACACAATTTGAAGCTGAATCCTAGCAAATGCCATATCATGTTCTTCGGCAACATAAACCAAGATAGGTGACCAAATACTCAAATCGGTTGACTGCAAAAAACTTGAGAATCACTTTCGATCAAGATTCAAAATTCAACGCACATGTAAAACAGCTTATGATCAAATCCTATGCCACTCTTAAAGTTCTCTATCCATATAGACAGAGCTTGTCCTTTAGCACAAAAAAGCTACTTTCACAATCGCTTATCCTTTCGAAAATCCACTATGGAGACCCTGTCTATGGTCCCTTCTTGGATTCCGCAAATCAATACAAGATACAACGTGTGCAAAATTCTTGTGTTCGCTTCATTTTGGGAATACGTAAATTTCAACATATTTCCCAAGCTCGTGTCAACCTTGGTTGGGTATGAAAGTCCGTTCTCAGGGAATATAACTACTGCAATATCACCTATTCAGTACTGAAATCTAAAATACATATTTCTCTATTCAATAAATTGACAAAGAGGTTAGCACTCCATCCTTTCAACCTGAGAACTAACTAACATCTCTCGTCATACGTTAGCCATGTTCAGAAAATCATTTTCTTTCCTTGCTGTATTTTTTCATACTACGATTACTAACGATCTCATGCAATTCTTGAAATCCACATTCAGAAAGAAACTAAAAGCAAAATTCAATATGTGACCAGGAGAATTAAATGTATACATTAAACTATGATCTTGTTGTATACTCCTAACAATTTGTTTCATCACACAATCTATTTTTATTTGGTCCAGTTATTGAAAACTAAAACAAAAGAAAAAACTGATAATATAACTATTCATTGCGCTACTTGGTAAGAGTGATTATAATAACTGACTCTCTCACAACACAAAAAAGAAAAAACAGTTTTGATATCACTTCAAGATTTCCATTGCAACTTTTTTTATATGATTCGCCGAGCAAGTATTAATATCGCAAAAGCTGCATATCGAGTTGTAGTTTTTACACATATCTTTAATTGGAGAATGCGATATTATGTTTGTTCGTGCTGCAAGGCAGTAAAATGTGAGATTCAGTCGTGACTTGAGGTCTTGGCACCCTAAAGTTCAGTTCTGACAGGAGCAAATGGCAGTCTACTTGG